GTTGGTCACTTGTCACATGTTTTGATTGTTAGCTCTTTTAGGCAGGGACATTTTATTATTATATGTTTGTACAGAGCCTGACACAATGAAGTACCCTTCCCTGAATGGCACCTTTGGATTCTGCTGCAATGTAAATAAATGCATTATAAAAATACAAAAATGCTATACTACAGAAACATGAAATTCTGTAATGGGCAAATTAATGCATGTATATGATCACAATTTTGCCTGCAACTAGAAAGAATCAGCTGAGGCTTGGGCCCTCAACTCTGTTCTTTCTTAGCTCCAGCATTGGAAACTTGTGTATTTATACACATGAGGACTACCCCACATTGGGCCATCAAGTACTGAACAGTGAGAAGCACTGTGCAGGTTACACATTTGTTATCCTTTTATTAGTCTTAGTAGACTAGTTCTGGGCCTCTGGCCACACCATTTTTTTTGTCATTTTTTACAGCTCGCTCTCCTTACCTAAACTCGGACTCAGTGTGATACACTGATGTGGTTTGGGCTCAGCTAATTATGTGTAATTTTGATTGCCTGACATTCTTTGCTTTTAGCTTTGACAGTTTCCATTTGGTCATAGAGTTACCCTCGGATTTATGTGGAAGCTACCAGTAAATTGTACATTTAAGTCAACCAATATGACATAAGAATCTCAAGACTCTACTGTGTGCCCTTTCAAACAGTAAATCTTTGGAAAAAGTATTGATTCCCCCACCCCCAGGTTTGCACTCTGGATGAACCTTCTTCTTATAAAACAATAGTAGGTAATTTCTTTTTACTAGCCAGCTGGCCTTAACTGAGCAATCTCAACCCACCACAAATTCTAATCCAAGTAAACAAGAAAATATGATTTACAAGCTGGGAAGCAAATCAATATCAGTTCATAATGAGTTTTAATGCTTAGCAGCATTTTCTCAAATATTATCCTTTACATATAGCAATTTGGTTTTAATTGCATATTCTGAGATATGTTCTGTACTATTCAGATCATGCATACAAATTATTTTCTTGGTTCCTTTAACTATAAGGCAACCAAAGAGTAAAGTGGGAGTAGGGGAATTATATTGGAGGAACACTGATTTTAATAATCAGATCTGAATTGCATTTGGTCTGATTTTTCATAGCAGGGCATTTGCCATAGAGGCTACCAGAAGCTGAGAAAGGAATGGGCTTTTCTAGCTTGATGTTGGACTGCCTGGCCATTTCTATACAAGACTTGGTTTCTTTCTTTTTAAATATGCAGTCTCCATCCCAGCTTTGCAAAGGGCACTCCATGGATCCAGGGACCCATGAAGAAGTTGGAAGGAATGGAGGTGCCCCCGCTGAATCAGTGGATGAAAGATAATTAGTGTTCCACGTTCTCAGTTTTTATTTTAAAAAAACCCTGGAATTTTTCAGGGTTCATCTTCAAACATAAAAACCAAGATGAAATCAGGATAAAAGGAAGAAAATGGAAAAAATCAGTTTAAAACGGGGAAAAATTGGCGGTGAGGGAGGGAGGGAGGGAGTAAGGCTGGGACTAGGGAAGGGGCAGGGGGTGGGGTGCGATGCAGCCTGTTGGCCACTCCCAGGGCTGCAGCAGGGAGCAAAGCGGGAGGAGCTATCAGTGGGTGCAGGGTGTGGCTCTTGCTGCTGTGTACCCTACCAGGGAGGCTGCAGGCTTGGGGGCCTGTGCAGAGCTCTTTCCAGGGGGTGTGTGCCCCCGGATCAGCAGCAGGAAGCACATGGCACCACACCTGCTTTTCTTCCCTGGTTGCCTTCGTGCCCCTCTCCCATGCTGCAGCAGTCTGCTGCCAGGCTGCCCTGGCTTTTGGGGGGAGAGGGCAGTGGCATGCAGCTGGATGTGGGGAGGGGGGGACCTGGCACCTCCCACCCCGCCCAGGGTCAGAGCCAGGAGCCCTGCACCTCCAGGCAGTGGCTCCAGCCAGTGGTGATGCATAGGGGGTGCAAGGGGCTACACACGTGCCCCCTGACAGTGCTGGTGCACCCCCTGACACGCTGTATTCCCTGCTTAGGTGATGGGGAGGGGGAGCAGGTGGGAGCGCCTGTGCCCAGCTGCAAGCACCGGCTGGGGAGCAGCTGCGCCAGCTGGAGCACCGCAGCCAGTTCTGGGAGCGATGCGGATACTTCCCAGTTGGTGCGACCGGTAGAGGGGGGACTCCCCTCTCCCCCTCCAGGTGGTGAGATTGGCCATGGGGGAACCTCGCCCGGTTGCTGACTGGTTTCTGGGGGGCCAGGCCGCCACCCCTCCCCCCCCGCACATCCAGATGGAAAGCTGTGCCTCAGCACAGCGGCACTTCTAGCTTACCAGCACCACCCGTTTTTCAGTTCAAATCCCTGGTAACCGGCACAAGTAGGGAATGGACCATTCCCCGCTTGTACTGGATAATGGGGATTTGAACTGAAAAATGGGTGTAAATCATTAAGAACTGAATGACTTAAAAAAATCAGGGAATTTATCAGTGAAAATGGGTAGAAACTGAGAATGCGGAACACTAAAGATAATGTACCTCCATGATGGGGAACCCCTAGCTGGGCTTTGACAGATCTAGGTTGCTTAGAACTGGGTTGAAGACACAGATCCTCGTGGAGATTGGCTTTGGGATGTTGGTGACTCCAAAGAGTCAGTTTCTTCTCTGGAGAGGACAGCTCCTAGTTCCCAGTTTTAATAGAGCAGTTTAGGAGAAAGTCCGAGGGAAACAATTGGAAGAGCAAAGTGTTTCCTGTTCACTTTCTCTCTCTCTATCTATAAACACATCCCCCACACATACTATAGGAATTTAGACATGGAGACTCAATCTAGATATAAGTACAGATTTCAGCATTTGGCCCATTGCTTTACTTGAGTATTTTGCTTGAGTAAAGTGTGAGTAGAAACTGAATGATCTTGCCCTGTTAGAATTATGCTGGGACAGAATTTGAATAGCTCCAGTACTCATGGAAATGCCAGCTAGTAATAATGGACACATACTCTCCATTTAGATGGTTCCTTCCATCTGAGAACCTCAAAGCTCTTATGAGTCTTTAAAATTTGTACAAAGGGAAAGTAGAACACGTCAAAGCTCATGCTGCATGTAGTGCTATAATTTTTTATGGCACCATAAAATGACTGTCTTTCAAGATATAATTACGTGCTGTTACCTATCAGTGCATGCGATCAAGGTATAATACCCACATCTGTAATTTGGTATGCACACCAAAGCCCAAGAACTAATATTCTACACATTTCAGGTACTTGCATACCTGCCATGTTAAGATTATGTTAAACTACACAAAGCTCATGAAACTCTGTATAATGGTAAGCACAAAGGTGTAGAGGGAGGCAATATGCTTAAAATAAATATTTCTCTTAAGTATCCAGTATCCAAAGCAAGATTATTGGTGCAAAATTTGTGCACAGTTCACAGGCTGAGGCTTAGCTCTTATAGTTTCATAGTTGTAGGGTTGGAAGGGACCTAAGTAGATCATCAAGTCTGACGCTGTGCCCTGGGCAGGAGTGAATACTGGACTCATATGACCTCAGCTAGATAATTATCAAGCCTCCTCTTAAAGACCCCCAAGGTTGGAGTTAGCATCACTTCCCTTGGTTCCAGATCCTAGCTGCCCCGACTGAAGTAGTGCCTTCTAATGTCCAGCCTGAACCTACTCTCAAACAACTTATGGCCATTATTCCTTGTTACTCCAGGAGGTGCTCGGGGGAACAGGGTCTCTCCCATTCCCCACTGGTCCCCCCGGTGAGTTTATAGATGGCCACCAGGTCCTCTCTCAGCCTTCTCTTGTGAAGGCTGAACAGGTTCAGGTCCTGTAGCCTCTCCTCATAGGGTCTGCCCTGCTGTCCCCAGATCATGCGGGTGGCCCTCCTCTGGACCCTCTCAGTGCTGTCCACATCCTTCCTAAAGTGCGGCACATCATTTTTAGTGTTCTGCATTCTCAGTTTTTACCAATTTTTTTCACTGATAAATTCCCTGATTTTTTTTAAGTCATTCAGTTTTTACTGATTTACATCCATTTTTCAGTTAAATTCCCTGTTAACTGGCATGAGTGGGGAATGATGCATTCCTCACTTGTGCTAGTTAACAGGGATTTAAACTGAAAAACGGGTGGTGCTGGTAAGCTAAAAGTGCTGCTGTGCCAGTTACCTGAGGCACAGGTTTCCAGCTGGATGTGGAGTGGGGCGGTGGTGGCAGCCACATGAGGAGCAGGGGGGTGGTGGTGGCCGCGTAGGGGCTGGGGGAGGGTGGCTGGAGCCACTGCCTTGGGGTGCGGGGCACCCAGCTCTGATGCTGGGCGGGGTGGGAGGTGCCAGTGCCAGGGTTGGGTCCCCTCCCCCTCCACATCTGTCTGCGTGCCACTCCCCCTTCCCCCAAATGCCAGGGCAGCCTGGCAGCAGGCTGCTGCAGCAGTGGGGAAGGACACAAATGCAACCAAGGAAGAAAGGCAGGCATGGTGCCATGTGATTC